TTTTTATATATTACTTTAAATTGAATTGCATTTTGAGGTCTTTGACTGTAATTCATTGCATTTGTTTTATTCATATTAATTTTTAAATTATTATTGTCAAGCCATGTTATTACTGAATTTAGGGACTCATTTATGAGAATTGTGAAAATTGATAAACCCAATTAATAATACAAAAATTTATCAGTTTGTTGTCAAATTGACATCATTGGCGATGCATTTCGTAAATAAACGGCACCATTGAAACTTGGTTTGATGAAATCATATATCCCGTTATAGGAGAACGTCGAGATGATGACGACGCTCAACCAGCACTGTCTGGAAGCGCCCCAGCATCATTACCACCTGCCACTCAACCATCACCGCCCATACCTGCTCAAAGAAGGTAATAATCCCTTACTCCAGTACCACCTACGTCATCTCAGCCATCAGCATCCAAATATCTTCAACATTTATTATTGTTTCTGCAATATGATTTAAATTCTGTCCGCTTACGCTTATTACAATTCTAATTTGATCTCACAAGCTATTAACTTATAAACGTCTATTTTTTTTGTCATTATTGATTTTGTTGTCAGCTTTTTCATTTATTTTGACATGATCTATAGCTATTTCAGCTTCTTAAATGAATTCATGTATATCATTTAATTAAATAAATGATGAAATTGTACCTACTAAATTGGAAAATATTGTCATTGCAGCTGCTATTGTTTAAGTCACTCTCAAGATAAACTCGACAAATAGGTACACTATTTTTCTATTGTATTGCTTTGTTTTTTAATTTGCTTATTCATTGATACCACTATCACTTTTATTACCATAGTATTATGGGTTATTTTGCTTCCTTCTATACTTTATTTATTATTGTTTATTATGTGTGTCATTGTTGTTTCATTAGGTTTATTAACAGCATGTAGTGAAGGATGTGTTTTTAAAGAAATGTTGAAGATTTTAGTATCAACACTTATAGAATCACTGTTACTATAATTTGCAAGACAATATTTTAGATTGTCTTATTCCATATCACTAATAATAATATTATTATGAGTTACAAATCCAAAGTTATTCAAATTAGATAAGTTAAAGCAACGTAGATTGGTTCTAGAACTATAATACTTATCTACTAGTATCTTCTTCATTTCTTAGACAGTTTTAAATTTTTCGAAAATTAAAACTATGTCATGTGTTTTTTGCAGATCATTGTCAATGCTAGCGAAATCTCCTCCATCCAACGCTGAAGACGATAAGAAGTAAACGTTAGTTCTATTAGGAAGACATATAACTGTGTCTAGAAAAACACGCGTTTCACCTTCTTTTACTTTGAACGTTCCTAGCCTTTTGTAAGCTGTTTTATTGATATTTCTTGCTTAGGCAACGATGCACTGATCGCATATACCAACTGAATTTAGAATTATTTCATTATTTTCAATTTCCAGTTTCTTTTGAGACTATTTTTATTCTAAATTTTCCTTAGATTAACTCAACTGTACTATGATCCTGACTAAAGACTAAACCTAACCTAATATGACGAATATAACGGATTTAGACTTAAAATTGATTTGAGACAATATAAGATCTCTTTGTTAATGATTAATAAGCTTAAAGCTTAGATAAAACCCCTTATAATGAGAAATGAATTAATTAAAAATGAAGACATATAATAACAATATGACAATGGCTAAACGTACCGGTAACTGACGAAAGATATCAACTAAGAAATTGACGTACTTATTTGAATTAATAATAATTACTAAAAAATACTCAAAACTTCCTTCAAAGTAGACAAAATCAAGACTCTTTAAAGTGTCTATGTAATGTGATATTCTCAACCTAAACTGACACTTATAGCATACACTATTAAGTCCAAACTGAGTAGTCGAACTTGTCACGTTCACATATATGGGTAAAGTTTTGACAAACATTGGCCATATATGTGGATAATTTTGGATAATATTTTGGTACTCAACTTTTGTACTGTTCTGTCGGTGACGACACGGTCCATCTTAACTGACCTATAATCATTAGCTTAGCTTAGTCATTCAGTGCTTATTCGTGTTACCGTAGAACTATTAACTATTTTATAAGTAAAATTAAGTAGAAAGAAAAGAAAAGGATTTTGATAACGCATTGGGAATTCCGTCTCACATGATTATAGAGAAGATAGGATCTCCTACTCGAATCTTGCACAATTTCGAAAGTAAGTAGATAGATAGAGATAAAATATAGAATAAGTACATTTTTGCTGATTCTGCGGCCAACTGATTATTTTTAACCTAGCTAAGTCGGCTAAAATGCGGTGGAAAGGATTCGGAATGAGATTTCTAAAAGTGGTTCCTCCTTTTTGTATTTTCATATAAACTTTCAGTATAAAAAAATATTATTACTCCTAGTAATATAAAAATATCTCGGTTTATTGCATTCATTCTAGTCTTTTTATTAATATGTTTTATTTAATTTACTATTCTAGTCATTTATTAATTTACATTCAATGTATTCAACATTTATTTAATCATTGTTTAATTTTAATTATTGTTTAATTATAAGTAAAAATAGAGTATAGTTGTTATTATTTTCATATTTTTATTAGATTAAGATTTGTATCGCATTGTAATTAATATGAAATGATATTAATCAAATGTAGCATAGATGTCGTATAATGTAAAAAAAATATTATTTTTAATGTTTTTTCCTTACCATTCGGTTGGTCGTGGACTTTCAAAGGTTATAGAAATTAATAAACGGGGCTTGCTCACTTCCATAACTAAAATATAACCGATTATGTAAGAATTATAATTTCTAATTGTGATGGTAAGTAGGTTTTGGACCTAAAGTAACATGTTTTGTATGAAGTTTAACGACAGAATTGTTAGACAATACGACTAACAAAACTTAAAAACTACAGTCGTAGTCTTGTCGTAAGGAGTTTGGAAGATTGGAAACGAAGTCCTAATTGATAGAATTGTAAAACTAGGTCTATCTTTGATAGATATGTTTTGGGATGAGACTGAGAAGAAGAAGAGGTAGGTATGACATGCTTAGCTGCTACACCGCGAGGCTGATAAAAGCAATTGTTTCTCATATCAGCTCCTGAAGTCCCCTTAAAGGTTAAGCGTAAGGGCTCGCTTAAATGTAAACTATTTATAAATAATAGTTAATTTTTTTAAAGTCTGTGTGCTTGAGGTCGATGTTAAGCTAGTCTCAACCGTTGCTACGCTGTAATATTAAGTTTAAAAAAAAAGATTAAGTTGCTAAAATGTTCAATTGTTTCACGTTGTATTTGTACCTAATATTGCTGAATATTCTATCGATTAAATAATTATTGAATATTAAATAAAAACGCTATGTCTCATATTTAATTTTTGTGTTTTATTTACCCTGTCTGATGTCTGTAGCAGTCTTAGTTTTTTTTCATTGTTAATAAAATGACATTTTGCCACCAACTCGCCTGTCTGTTGTTGAAAGACGATGCATTAATGTTATTTTTTATGTGATACACGAGCAGACGGATCACTTGATGGTAAGCAATCGACGTCGCCCATGGACACCAGGAACACCAGAGGCGTTACACGTACGTTACCTGTGTTTTGGGGATTAGGAATTTTACAATTGTTGGAGATTCAGAGATAAGAGAAATGGGGGAATTGGGGGGCAATTGGACCTTGTTCAGGTTTAATCTTGGCATACGAACGATCTGTACTTCATTATGCAGCAGTAATTAGGGCGTAGTACCGATATATTGGAATGTCATAGTTATATTGGAAATGATCTCATCCACAGCTCGTTAGAGTCTACTATTGGACTATAGACGGGAGGTCTATTCCTTAAATACGAGGATTTAAGGGAGGTCTCCACCCTTGGCAGAGTTGTAAATATCAGGGTTAAGGTATGTCGGAAAGTAGAAGGTTATGACACCCACTTGAAGTGGAAGGGTGACGTAAGAGACTACGTCACTATGTCGAGACAGAGTGGACTATGATTAACAATGGAGACTCACAAATAAAACTCACACATTTCTTTAACTATAGTTTATTAACAAAAAAATATAAAAAATCTTAATAAAAAGATACAAATCATTAACTGTGTAAAATGTGATATGAGTATTCACAATTATTCTATAACTAAAACCCATTTTTTATAGTCGCCATGCTTTTTTTATTAGGTACCTATAATTGAATGTAGCTTAGACGTAAAATTCTCATATTTTTTTATTCTATTTGCTGAAAATGTGTCAAATTATTTGTTCTACTAAAGGCTAATTTTTTAATCAACATTTTTTAATTTGTATAGAATATAAATGACGATAAAAATATCTGGTATTTAAAAAATTTGCCCTAAGTATTTAGGGCAAGTATTTAAGACAGAAAAGCATGGCGGGCCTAAGTATTTCTTTCTACAAACAAAAATATAAGTAAAATTGGCACTTTCTGTTGCACAATTTTTTCATTTTGTAACAAATCAATGAAAATTCTTCAAATGAGAAATCTTTTTACAAAGACATATACCCTTAACTAATATTATTATTCGATTTCTCATTCAAATTATTTTCACACATTTTTCTTAATACCTAAAAATGCTTACATTTACTATGGCATTTTTAAAAATAATTTCATTTAATCGTTTCGTTGAATTAAGGCGAAAATAAAAAAAATAATAAATTATAAGCATTCAACATTTAAATAGAAATAAATAAGTTTAATAAATTAGATAAGTCTTTGCTTTGGTGGTAAATAATAAAACGCCTCAGGAAAATCCCCTTTGATCTCATAAAAATAATTTATTTATTTATTTGAGTAAACGTATTTCGTCGGGTAAATCTGGAATCTACCATACCATAAAGGCTGCGTATCTGCAATAGATCCAGTTTTATAGAAGAAAGTTAAACTTCATAATTTTTATTGATTCAATGAATTTGAAGCTCTGTTTTTATAATAACTATCGTGAGACATACTAAATCAAGTAAAAACGCGGGTTACTCACGTGAGTAACCCGCGTTTTTACTTAATTTGAAGCTCATTTTCTCATACTATTAGAATCGAGTCGAAATAAACCCGAATCAAGGCGGTGGCAGCCAATTACGATGTTGCGGGATTATTCAGCGAAATCTTGAATTGGTTACATTTGTCAGATACGCGGAACTATCCAATGCTAGTTCCGTGCATTTGCACTATCCCCGACGATTTTTGAAATTCCTCGAGAATTTATAAGTATTTTTTTTTTATTTATGAGTTAAAAGGGGGTGTAAATAAAGTTAGACTAATAATGCAATTAGCAAAAGTAATACTCGTTTACAAATGTGTCTGGAACTTTTTCAGAGAGAGTCGAATTCCGACACGTCACTGGTCTGAAAATAGAAATGAATATAATGTTAAAGAAATGTATCATCAATACATAGTATAAAACAAAGTCGCTTTCGCTGTATGTCCGTATGTATGCTTAGATCTTTAAAACTACGCAACGGATTTTGATGCGGTTTTTTTTAATAGATAGAGTGATTCTTAAGGAAGGTTTGTATGTATAATACATGCATATTGCACCCGTACGAAGCCAGGGCGGGTCGCTAGTTTTATTATAAATAACATAATAAACTGAGGGTACCTACATGTAACATCACGCCTTTTTATTCCCGAAGGGGTGGGCAGAGGTGCACATTATGCCACTGTATCTACTATGTAATATGCACTGTTCACTATTTATGTTATGAGTCCCATGTAACAGGGGGTGAGCCTATTGCCATAGCGGGCACATTTCCGGACTCCGTGCTACAACTGACATTTTTTTTAAAACGAATTTCTGAATCGAACCCGAGACCCCTTGCCTGGCAGTCGCGGCACTTGCGACCACTCGGCCAACGATATATAAAGTCATAATGGCGCATGGTAAGCAAATTTATTGTTATATCAGTTGACAATTTCGAAATCGAAACTTCCAATGCAGCATACACAAATCAATAAGGTAAATCTCTTATATGTATTTTAATTAGTTTCTGTAACCGCTCATCAGCAACTCCATTATAGACTTTATTTCTAATGTTCACAGACTACTTTTGTATGAATAAACTCACCCTCTATTACATGGGACTCATAACATAAATAGTGAAAAGTGGGTGTTACATTGTAGTGGTATAACGTGCACCTCTGCCTACCCCTTCAGGGATAAAAGGCGTGATGTTATGTATGTAAATTTCTGGTATGATATATTAGCGTAGGTATCTATTAAATAGAAAAAAAAAGACTCAATTACACAACAAAATACTGATTACTACGATTAATTTTTGGGTGCAAGTGCCAAGAAACAAAAAGAACTACAAAAGCAAGTACTAGAAGATGCTAGAAGATACCCACTAGGTCTGGTTTGTAGAGGTGCACATGTGGCAGGAGGAAGGTGGATCCAAGGTCACGTTCAGCCATCGTGTGTTCCTGGGAACGGTGCAAAGGTTACAGAGTGCTTGCTAGAAGTTCATGTTGAGGGTGAAAGACAAGTTGCTATGGATTTTAATACAGATGGTGGTGGTAAGCCTGGCATAAGAGTAGTTGATGATTTAGTATTTATTGAAGATCTAATTAATGATGGTAATACTTGTGATCTTAAAGAACTGAGGGTACCTACATGTATCAAAAATCATGTTATAATGTTTGAATGTAATGTGTTAGAATATTATGTACTTGTGAGATTGTAGAAAACATTTATTTATAAAAGTGACGATGGAGTTTCTTGCTTCTTCTCCATTCGAAACTACACTTTGGAACGAGCCCAGACTAGCTAGAACTATGGCTAAAGTAAAGCAGAGTCAACCACAACAACTAGTTTCACTAACAATTCAATTTGACTTGATTTAAATCAAGAAGTAATTGAAATAAGTTCTTTGACTTTGACTTCATTAATATTATCAACTTTACTATGATGACTGGGCGATGGGGTCTCCACAAGACCTTTGAATAAACAAAATCCATTACTATTTCAAATAATATTTTTGGTAATGGTAAACAGGACATAGAAGTTAAAACAGAATCTATAAAAAATGTTTACAAGAATAAAACTACTGAAGAACGTGATACAGAAGCTAAATAAATTGATGGTACTAATAACGAGAAGGGTGATAAAATGATGCTTGAACTGACCTGGTGCGTGAGACGTGTTGATGATGCAGCTCTTCCTGTACTCGCCGGTAGAGTTCCACCGACAGATCTAGCTTCTGATAGAGTCCTGTGTGATAAATGTGTATTTTAATACCTATGTACTTAAAAAAAATGAATCTTAAGACAGGCTTCTAAATAAGATAAAGACAGAATTTGAAGATTCAATGCAGTACCTATGTACCTCTGTTTTGTTATAATATATATTTTTTTCTGTGTATTGTCTGTGTTGTGTACATAAATAAATGAATAACTAAGATTTGAGAAAGACGAAAAAAAATTAACACACAAAATATTAAATCTAAATTTTTGTTCTTCTTTGTGTTAAACTTTTGATTCATAAGCATCTGTTTTATTCTATTATCATTCACCTATGTTGTCTATGATTTTTTCGTATGACAAGGCATACATTTACAACTCATAAAGTCTACTTACAATTCACCTAATCTTCTTTCAGCATCAGTCCATTCTGATAGATCTTCTTGGCTAGAATTTGAAAACAGATTTTAATCAATATTATAACAAAATATTACAAGTAATGACTTCGCTTCTATCATTTCTTTTTTCTATTGGTTACCAAGTATGGGAGAGCCATGCTTCGGCACGAATGGATAGGCTCGACCGGAGTGTTACCACGGCCTCACAGAAAACCGATGTAGGAACTAAGCTTGCGTTGTATTTTGTCGTGTGAGTGAGGTTACCGGAGGCCTAATTAATCTCCCCCTTCCCCAATCTCCCCAATCTCTGAATTTCCATCCACCCATCCTCAAATTCCTAATTCCCAAATGCCGGTAACGCATGGGCGACGCCGATTGCTTACCATCAGTTGATCCGTCTGCTCGATTACTGGTTTATGCCATAACAAAAAACAAAAACAAAACATACCTGTAAGATTTTCTTAGCGTATCAAATCTTGCGAGTTCAGCCTCTAAGTCTCCTTTAGTTACAGAGGAGAGGTCATCTCTGTCCTCTTTCATTGCTGCCTCATCTGGTCGGATTGTCGTTGATACCTTGAATCCTGCTGAGACTAGAGCTCCTGGAATTTAGAAAATAATTTCTTTGTCAATAAATAGAATAGAATAGAATAGAATATAACTTTATTGTACACCATTAATAATACAGAACACACAGAAAAGGAAATGACAAATATAAATAAAAATAATAATGGGCACAAAGGCGGTCTTATTCCTTATAGTGATTTCTACCAGACCACCTTCACCAAATCTTCATCCTCTTCGAAGGAATCGAGTTATTTATTAACATTTTTGCCAGGTAGTAATGACAAATTAAACACGGCGATTGTAGCTAACTTTTTATATATATAGAGATCGCTTGTGGTCCAGCAATGCACAATCGCGAGTTGTTAATGTCGCTCATAATAACAGTTATGAATTTTATTTTCATTTTTTCTTGTTAAAACATTGCCCCAAACTACGATTTTCTCCTGTGTCGTGGGTGCGTTTACAAACATACAAGTTCACATAAAAATGACACCCAGACGCGAGACGCGGATCAACCATCTGTGGATTACACAAAGAGTTGTTCCGTGCGGGAATCCAACCCACAATACAATCCAGCCAGTTGCCCAGCCACCGCACCAAATTAAAGATTAATTTGTAAAATAATTACCTTGTTTGTTATGTCTATCTTTGTTGGCACTGTATGAAGATTCCAAACTATGTTTTCTTCTCATCTGAAATCAATTGAATTCGTTTCCGTTTAGTTCCTTCTAATTTTATTATGATTCAGTCTAAATTAATCAAAAATCGCGGGTTACTCACGTGAATATGCTGCTCATGAGGAAGAACCCCTCTGTGATTCGAAATTATTAGAGCTTTTCTCAGTATATTCGCGTGAGCAACCCGCGAGTTTTAGTTAATTTAGTATGTCTCACGACAGTTATTATAAAAACATAATTCAGTGTACTATGAAAAATTCTAAGTCGCGTGCTTTGACTAGATCTATTTTCTTGTTAGATCTTCTTATCAGTTTATCGTCGTTGAGTATGTTGTATATGATACTGGGTGATATAATACTTGCCTCATCATTGGAGGTAGTCGCTCCGGACTCCAAATAACTGATTAGTTTCGCTTCACTGCTGAGCTCCAAACTCCTCTTTCTGGCTATATTTTCACGGCTGTGAAGAAGATCAATCAAATTAATGTAAAAAATAATTCTTTCTCCTAAATGATTGGTTTACTTGTCTAATGAGAATATTGTTGTAAATCTATTATATTCGCATAAGCAATACAAAAGTTTGGAACATTGTAATAAAATTTTGACAACCCCGCTTCTATCAATTTCGTCGTCAATTTATTAGTTCTTTAACGCTTCAGCGTCAGTGTTCCTACAATTATCTTAAAATTCCTACGGCTTATTAGAAACTCACCTGTCTCCATGATGAGGATGCAGCCTAGCTCTGGGGATCATGACAGCGGGAGCTGGTGGCGGTGGAGGATCATGTGCTGGTGGGTCTGACATCACGCACTTCTTAGCGCTTGTTGATGCTCTCTGGAATGATCAAGAAATATGGTCTAATTAAGGAAATTGGTACCACAAGGTTATGGAAAGTATTCCTAAAAAGAATGTTCTCGGATATACGGATCACACAAAGAAAATGTGTCATTTTAATTAGGGGTAAATGTGAATGCAAAAACAAGGACCTTTTTAAACTCTCCTAGTTTTAAAATCACATCTACACATAATACGTATCTCAAATATTATCTTAACAGCCATAAAAACAGAAGTACTTACCTTCGCTGGTATATAAGGCAGCGACGCATTCTGAATGCTAGAATTATCTCCAGATTCACCTCGTTCACTAATCAGTGCTCGTCTGTCAGCTCTCTGTTTTGGCATTGCACCCTGAGAAGAAACAAATAAGGTAATATTCCACGGCCCACAGCATTTTGTTTTAAAAATTATATTGATACAAAATATGGGCCCTTTTATCACAGAAAAATACTGTCGACTAGGACGTCGCACGCCGCGACCCGTGACGCGGAATACTGCTCATGAATATGAGCCACTAGCAAGGCTTGAAACTAGTCAAGTTCCTCGTCAAATAATTTCGTGAGTAAGCCGAAAAATATAATTATTTATTTAGTATGTCTCACGACAAATCACTTACCTGATGTAAGCTCGGCATGCTCTGTATACAAGCGACGATGGAGCGTTGTGGATGGGGTGCCCTGCGAGCGCGTCTTGAACACGCCATCACAGCACACACCGCCAGCACCACCGTCAGGAGAGCACCACACACCACCAGAGATATTAGGACCACTGTCAAAATAGAAAGAGCCATCAGAGCTAGTCAAGAGTTATCAATATAGGCACTTGGTTCTCTGATGAATACGAGGTGTCAAGTCAATGGACAGATAAAATCGTCAGGGCAAGTCAATCAACTTTGTTTAATAGCACGATTAATGACCAAGACGTATCACTTAACCCGTTAAGTTCTCCGCAGCGCCGTCTTCAATGTATCCGTAAGCCTATCACCCTAGGTGTTAATGGTAAATATTTCATGCTGCTCCCGTAGACACCCGCAAAACTAAAGGAGTTACAAGTCCGTTATCGATCTATGGGCCTAAGAGGAGTAGGCTTCCAACAACCTCACGAGACATATGGAGAAAAACTCAACTAAAACAAATTAGATTCTCTTACTGTAAAATAATACAACTTACCCTTCAAATTAATCTGGCAGGAGCTACCGGCGTACCATTGGAAGCACTCGCATAAAACTCTCCTGTCATCCCTCGAGTAACAAGCGCCGTGATAGTTACACCTTTCACATCCCACTGGTTCAGCTGGAAGAGATAATTGGGATCTTTAATATGATTTTCAGTAAGCAACTTTACATGCACGCCATTTATTCCCGAAAGAGTAGGCAGAGGTACGGCAGTTAATGCCACTGTACAATGTGACACCCACTTTTCAGTATTTATTGTATAAGTCCTATGTAATAGGGAGTGAGCTTATTGCCATATACAGAGCACAATTTCAGGCTCCGTGCTAGTACTGGGATTTTTTTTAAACTTAATAATATTTTACATGACCCGGGAATCTAACCTAAGACCCCGGCACTTGCGACTTGCGACCACTTGACCAACGAGGCAGTCAAAGCAACTTTAATTGTTAATAATATGGTTTTGTTTTGTTTGTAGCTGTAACACTATTGGTTGAACCTTATGCTCATCTATATAACAGGACCTTTGATTTAATTATAGATCCTATACAATGAAGAAAGGATAATCATTATTCAAAATACCCTAATTCGTGTATTCATACTGCAAAAAAAAGATAAAAGTAGTGCAATTGAGGACACAATGGACTTTCAAGGGATGTGGTTGGTGTTGTTGATGAAGATGAGTAATGGGTAAGCTTACCAGAACAAATCCTGCCAGGGTACAACGCATTGACACTGAGATCCGCATAACCTTCAAGACAGCTGCAAGTGTAGGTACCACGCAGGTTGAAGCACTGTGCATGCTCGGAGCAGTCATGGAACTGCCCACTGACACATTCGTCGAAGTCTGTAAGAAATCGTAAAAGGTTAAAACCCACACTAAAGTAGGTATGCGATAAAAATTACTAATTAATTGTGGTAAAGCCAAGAAATAACAAGAAAAATTAGTGCAAATAATATACACTAAAATATCTATATAAAAAATTTGACTATCAATACCAATGTCTTCACTACAAGTGGTTGTCTACCAACTGGTCAAGAACACAAAGACATGTAACTAATTAATAATGTAATTAATAATGTAAGAGGTAATAAATAACTATTACGGCATGAAGAAGCTCACACAGTTTACAATACTTCCCTCAGACTTCATAAAATCCACCAGAAAATGGTAACAATGTTGTACTTACCACTGACATCCAGTTTCTCCATCAGCTCACTAGCAGCATGGACCTCCGTACCTCCGAGGCTGTAGTTGTTGTTCCTCAGATACTTTTCGATGACTTCCTTGAGTCTACTCTCATGTGCATTATCCGAGAGCTGGAAATTATTGTGAGAATTTTGAGAGCAGTGATGTTTATGGCATAATCTTTATAACAGAATTGTGAATGTAGAAGAATGGTTTTTGTAATTGTAATTTGTAATAGAAATGTCATCATTTTATTTAAAAAAGAATTAAGCGTTCTTTATGTAGGGAATTTAACATTATAAGTAGTTCACTATGAACTACTATGCTTACGATTCTAGACATCACATTTCATTTAAAGACACTAATAAGTGTATCAGTGGCAACTGCTTTCCAAAAACCTACGACATCTCTACATTTGTAAATACTAAACTGTATCAGGTTTACTTCAGTCTTAACACACATAAAACCACGATCTTTTCAATCTTCAGTTCAAAATACACTATTACCTCTTTTAACACCATTACCTGTACATAGAAGTCGTTCATCACACCCTGGTACAAGTCTCCTCCCGTAGTCTTCATTTCCACAGGATGGAAACCATTGATATGGACTCCATGGTAAACATCCCTCAGGTCTGATTGCATTATCATCCTATTGATACCTTCATGAGAAGCCACTGCTAAAGCATGGTGCTCTTTGCTAGAGTTATCAGATAGATTGTCATGGAATTCTAATCTTTCGTTGCCTTGAGATCCCAGAGCCAGTTTCACGGAGTAGGTGTATGTCGCTGTAAAATTTAATGTTAACGTGAGTCGCATTGTTGAATTAGCGACTGCAGGGCTTGAATGGCGATTTAATTTTCGAACCATGTAAAGGGCGAGCTCGAAATATTTTTTTTTCGAAACTTTAGGGTTTTGTAACTTGAAAATATTCAATAAAATCTATATTGATATTCAATGATACAATGTGAGCCTACAGTTTCAAGAGTCCCATTAACTTAATAATCAACATCAAAAAAGAAAATTCGTAATAATTGTCTTATTTATTTTGAACTTTATTACTTACGTTTGCAAGGCCTGTCAGGGAACATTCTAGCAAATCCAGGTCTGCATACACATTTCATGAGACCATCAATACGCTGGCAGCGCTCATTTCTGGAGGCTTTGCAATCTGGCTGACATTCCTTGCCGTATGGTACTCCTGAAATATTAATCGATATATGCTATCAAATGTGAAAAACCGTTACTTATGTTCATAGCTGCTACAATTGGTTTTGAAATACAAGTTACAGAATTCTAAAATTTCAAATTATGCATGAAGTTGAGCAATAAACTCAAACACTATAGAACTGTTAACCTAACGAACGAAAATGTAAATCCAAGTATTACTTACCATTCGGATTAACATTAGTAGTCTCCAAAAATGGTGTACCAGCCAACAGAATTTCTCCAAACAATACTTGTGATACTCCATTATTATTAACTTGCTCATTCCTAGTCACATCGTAGTCTCCTGTCTCAATATCAGTAGTTACTGGTGGAGATTGACCTCCATTCTGAGATTTATTCATCACAACGAAGAACGTATCATTATCATTCTCTGGATCACTATCATTCTCAATCTTCTGAATGATATTATCAGTTGTATCAGAATCTCTGATAATGAGATTATCATTCTCTTCTGAGGACATCGTTATATCATCTAAGGATACTTTAGTTTTTGGAATGCTTTCTTGGACTGGTGTTGGTTGAACCTGTATTGGTATGTGTTTGGTTACAGTCTCTATTATCGTTGTAGGTTGCACTTGTGTGTGCACCTCTGTTACAACATCAACGATTGTCGATGTTTGTGTGTTTGTTAATATCAACGTCTGTGTTACAGCACCTTCTGATTGGCTGACTAAACTTGTCTTAGTATGTGTGACAGTTAACGTATGTGTTAGGTTTACATAGCCAATACTTGATACGGTTCTCGGTGGCTCTGATAGTGTCTTAGTGAGGGTGATGACAGTTGTTCTAAATTCAGTCTTGGTTGGTATGATCTCGTCTGATATCTTGATTTCGTTACCAGCGTGGTGAGTTGGTTTTATAGTTGTGATCTCTTCTATACTTGGAGTTGGAATGCTGGAAGGAATGCTATTAGGAATGCTTGACGGTATGCTATTGGGTATACTAGAAGGTTCTCTTTCTACCAGATTTGTTACTTCTAATTCAGCAATTGTAGGTGGAATGTTGTCCTTCAAGACCTCTGTTGGTCTTATGAAATCTTCGTCAAATGATGTTTCTGAACTTTCAATAATACCAGTTGGTATAATAGGAGGTACCCTTGTAATTGGTCGTACAATCTTCCTAATAGAAGTGTGCCTTGTCGGATATAAGACTTCAGGTCTAGATAAAGTCCTAGTTGGTTTAATAATAGATGTTGGTTTGGCAGGCAACTTATATTTACTAGTAGTTGTTTTCTTTTCATCGATTCGTACTGGATAAGGTTTGCGAGTCCTATTCTTGTTGCCAAGTGGAATAACCTTCATTTTGTCAGTTGAAGTTTCTTCTTGACTAGTTTCAGAAGAAGATTCATTAGATTCTGTGCTGGTTGTCGTAGCCTTAGCTGTTGTTGTTGTCGTCGTAGTAGTAGAAGTACTAGCCTCTGTGCTTGATTCTTTAGAAACAACTACTCTATCTTCTGTAACTGGTTTCTCGTAACTAACTTCATCATCAACTCGTTCAGAAGATGATTCAGTTTCATATGAGTAAGAGTTTTCTAAGGAAGACGATACTTCAGTGGAATCAGGAATCTTGGATGGTTCTGGAGAATCAGGGAACTGTATTGATGTTGGGTTAAAGTTAAAGCTTGATGAAAAATCTATGCCAGAAGATGTTAACCAGCCAGAAGAGATAGGAGTTGGGAAGACTACTTTAGGTACATCTGGAATGCTAACTGTTGGTGCTGGTACTTCTATAGGACTGACAACCCTAGATGGAATATCTCTAGGAGGAGGCAAAAGCTGTGATGATGGTTGATCACGGTTATAAGTTGGTCGTCTGATATTGTTAATTATATCGAAAGCAGGCCTGTAAGTTGATATCTCATCCCTATTTACAACTGGCTTCCTTATTGGTCTCTGAGTAGTCACACGAGGTGGAACAGGCCTTGATGGCTTAGTTCTATATGGTGGTGGAGTTCTAATAGGAATTGCTGGACGAGGAGTCAAAGGAACTCTAGTAGGAAGCCTGATACCCGGAGGAGTTCTTGGAGGAGGAGGACTCATACCCATAATCATTTCATCATTCGTAGACGGCTTAAAGTTATAGTCCATTGTTGGCGGAGGCGGTGACAGATCAATGATTTCACTGGAAGTACGATTTAATTCTAAGTTAGATAACGTGAACGTCGGTAAAGTCGTTTTTTCCGTGGCTTTTTCCACAATCAATGGTTTTTTATCTTGAATATGAACTGTAGATGTTATAATTGATTCGTTATGCACTCGCGTGTTATTGAACTGATTGGTAAATACTGGTCGTGGTGGCCTCTTGTATTTTGCATCAGATTCTGTAACATAGAGAGGGTTTGAAGATGTGGGAGGCTTGAATTTTGATGGTTTGTCCATTTCTTCTCCGATATTTAAATCTATGTTATCCTCGTAGGATGCATTTGTGGTGTTTTCCATCATATGGTTGATCTGCCAATGAGGTTGTTGTAGCTGATGATCAAGGACGATGGCAGTGTTGATTGTAAATGGTCTGGGTTTATTGTATGGATTGTTTTCATAAATGGGTTTTATTGTATTAGTTTGGAAGCCAGTACTATTGTAAGAAGTAAACGGCTTTTCGGTTTGTGTACCAGGATTAAAGTTGACAAGGATTTTGTTGCTTTCATCTTTCTCCTCGTTCTTGGGTGGATTTAATACTTCGTCTTGTAGAAGGGTTATTTCTGTAGAAGATTTGGAATTGCTGTCTATTTCGCTTGAAGCACTTACTACAGGAACTTTCATGGATTCTGAACTGACTTCTCCATCAATTTCTCCTGCATTCTCTGGTTCTTCTTCTCCGTCATATATTTCTTCTGAATTTTCATATACTGGCTTTATTTTGTCGGTTGATAGATTAATTTTAGCAGTAGTTGTTTCATCACTGTTATCTCTAATCGGTATGTCGTAAGCAGGCTGTCTCATTCCACCCAAATTGGAAGGAATGTAATTAATATTAAATGGTTTAGTTGTAAACGGTGGGTTAGTAGAAAATGGCTTCTCTGTTATTTGAGGTTTAGTAAAAGGTTTTCCTATACTGAAACCTGTTACTGTTGGTCCGTTTTGTGACCAAAATTCGGTGGGTGGTTTACCAGCACTTGTAATTTTCTCTCCAAACTGAGGTGAATTATTCTTCTCATTGTAGTCGTGAATCAATGGTATAATTTTTCTGGTGGTAGCTTCTACTTTAATGTTATTAACAATCTTGTTTTCATTTAACACGCTAGAATACCAACCGTGAGAATTTGTTGGTATATTTGGAATTAATTTTGCTGGTCTCTTGATGTCACCAGACTTTACGTTGTCTGGGTATTCAGTGACTGGTTTTACATTTTCGTTAACAGTAGAAGGCGTCGAGTAATCGTTCATCATCGGGAAGTTAGCGTGACTATTAAGAGAAGGCGGTATAGATGGATTAAGAGGATTTCGTATATTTTTGTCTCCATAGTTTTGATACTGGTTTTCAAAGCTTGGCTGTTTTTTCTGGTTTCCATAACTTTGGTTTGGTTTTTCGTAGTTTTTGTTAACCTGTTCTTGGTTTTTGTTTGCATAGTTTACGTTTCCAAAGTTTTGATTTTGGACATTGAAGCTCGATGGTTTGTTTTCATATGTCGGTTGCTTATTTTCATAAGTTGGTATGATAGCATAGTTTTGATTGATGTTTCCTTCATTTTGGTTCTTGTTGTAGTTCTGATTCTTAATTTCTGTATTTTGATTTACATTTACGTACTGGTTTTGGTTTGTATTTGCATAGTTCTGATTCTTATTTATATTTTGTTGATTATGGCTGGTGTAGTGATTTTTATCTTCATAGCTTGTCTTTTTATCACCATAGTTTTGGTTATTGTAGCTATTTCCAACAATTGTTGAATGAATTGTATCTGTGGAACTCTTGTTCCATCTATTGTCACCTACAGAAACTTGTGGTATGCGGCTATTATCATTGAAAACAGTTGGTTGATTTGAATTGCCTTGTAAATTGTAAGTTTCTAAAGGCGAAGTATTATCTTCCACTCTAATTGCAAAGTTGGTTCCAATAGGTATGTCAGTGTTGAGCTGGCTAACATGAGTCGATGTACCGACAGGCACAGCTACACTGGAACCAATTACTTGTCCTGCCTCGTTGTTACTGGCAACATTAGTAGCTGTATTTAGGGTAACTGTATAAGTATTATCCTTATCTTCACTGACTGTTGGCACAAAAGATTTGTTCGCCATATTTGGAGAAGATATCACTGAAAATGAATTTTGAATCGGTCCTACGTTATTTACTTTTGGGGGTTGCATATTATTTGTAGGTTGGTTAAAAGTATTGTAGTTAGGTGACGCTGGTGGAATGCGGATAGTGTAAGTAGGAGAAGGCTTGCTGTTCGGCATCTGTGCAGCGAAGTAAATTTCAGAAGTAACTTTAGGTGGTAACTGTTCAGGTACTGGATGCTGAATATTCAAAAATACCTTCATGTCTTGCACGGGTTTGGTATGAACGATGGGTCGTTGACTATAAGGTTTGCTTTTGTCGTATATATTATCTTGATTATAATATTGTTTTTGAGGGACCTGCTGCGGTGGAGGTGGAACAGCTAAGTAATTTTCGTATTCTTTGTCAATTACTTCTTTACCATCTTTTGGTTTATCTTTGCCTCTATGTTTGTTATATTTATCAAAATCACCATTATTAGGATTGTATACATCTGGATCATAAACAGTTATTTGTGGCCCAACTTGCACGTGAGTTTCTTGGTTGCTTGTTGGAGGAGGTATCTTATTGTAGTCAATTGGGCGTTTGTTATCTTTCCATTTTATTTTGAGGTCATTTCTATGAGATTGGTCTTTGTAAGACGGCAAATTGGGTTTGTGACTATCTAGAAGTGCATGAACATTCGGTTTGCCAACATACTGTTTATTAGTGTTAGTTGGTACATTATGGACATTGGTCATTTGTGGTGCATCTATACTAAAACTGCCAAAATATCCAGGTTCAGGGTATGGAAGAGGATCATCGATATAGTCCCCAGTTTTATGTGGTTCAGAAGATCCAGCAAATACTAAAGCTGTAGAGCTGCCATGTGGAATGAGTACGTTCGCAACTCTTGAAGGTTGGATGTCAACTAAGAAAGGCTTATTAGATTCCACATTTCCTGCCACTGTAAAACTGTTCTCCGTTCTTATTTGTGTGTTCACAACCTCAGAAGAACTTGGGCTGTTGTCAGCTACAGATTCAACATTAGCTTCATTCACAGGTTTAAAATCAGTGTGATGTTTAATAGGAGCATTAGTAGGTTTTGCCAAAGATGGAATGTAATCTAAAAATGCTGGCCTACCATGATTGCTCAATACAGGTACGTTGGTCTTAATTTGTTCAGTTTTCATTAAGTGATCATGTATGCTCGCTGGCATGCGATACGGATATTTGTCATTAGGAGCAGAATTTTGAATATTAAATGACTGCATTGGTCTTGGCATAGGCCTGTTTGGTTTCGAATTTGGTTTGGGTAGCTCAGGTGGCCTCAAATCATAAGAGTCATCACTTGGCGGTTGATCACCAAGTGGTTTCTCGTTTACGAAGTATTGTTCGTTCGCTGCAATAAAGCTATCAATAGGCGGAGGATTGACCGAGTTTTGCAATTTAATTCCACTCGCGGCCAAGGTTAAAGGTCCACCCACGGCTGGTTTCCCAACAATGACGTCTGAGTTGGCCGTTATTATTTCACCTGGACTAATAGGTATACCGCCGTTGACAAGTGGGCTTTCGTGCACAATTTTAGGTGGGACAATGTGTGCTTTAGGCTGCTTATGTTCGGCTGCCCACGCCAAGTTCTGATGTAATGTCGCATTGGTAAACACAAGTTGAGATTCTGAAGTTTCTAATTCATCTACTGGAATGTATATTGGAAAGTTACTATGTTTGCCGTCTAAATCACTGTCTACTCTTTTGTTTGCAGTGTAAGCTGTCAACTTAACAGCAGGCTTGACAGTCGTAGTTGTGGTTTTATTGAGTGTATCTTGTCGTTTTATGAAACCACCTGTCATCTTCTCAATAACTGGTGCTAATTGCGTCAGACCTTTAATTCCCAAAGTGCCTAATTTCAAAAGATCAGCAACAACAAACTTATTTTTGTTTGGTTTTTGTGGTTTGTCAGGTTTCGTTTTTTCTGGAACTTTCGTATTTACTTTATTGGTTTTTGGTGGCGCTGGTGCCTGTTCATTTGTCAACAATTCACTTTCTTCGACTGAATTCGAATCTTTTTCATCTGAATAATCGTTGATGACTTCTGTATATTTTTCAACTACTTTGTCGGTTGGGGCTAAATGGGAATTAGTTTCGTATTCATAAGGTCCATACTTTGTTTTCTTGTCAATAGATTCTTTATTTGTTGGTCTTAAATCTAATTTCGTGGCACCGTAATTCGTTGTTTTCATTCCATATTTGCTCGATGATCCAGAAAAGTTAATATTGCTGTATTTGGTCTGCAGTCCTTCTGTCTTTGTGTTACTACAGGAGCAGGAACTAGTGCAAGGTGGATTACTGACTTCTGAAGGCTGGATGAGGTCGAAACCGTTGCTGTCCTCTTCTGCACTATCAATCCGCTTATCAATTTTTGGGTAACTGCTCATGTACATGTTGGTCGCTGCTGAAGGTTGGATGGTCTTTACTTCCATGTATTTAGTCTGAAATAGTTTAAAATTTTAGTTAGTAATGATATGACAAATGAACATAATTTCACACGATTATAACGGGATCAAATAAAAAGGACTTTATTGGATTAATAAACTACGAGAGATGAATAAATGTGTTAAGTATTAATAAGAATAGTGTTAACTAACTACAAAAAGTTAAAATACTACAGTAAGACATTTTAGAAAATAAAAATGTTAAAGTACAGGGCTATTATGGGGTGCATGGGTGAAATAGCTCGGAATAACGGAATCACTTGGATATTGACCAACCAGGGTCCCAAATCTTACTTTTGTCGGCTTTAAGTCTGGTATAACATCAGTATCATAAAGATTGGTTAGAGATTCTGTAGTGACAACTGAGACAATGGTCTCAAATGTTGATATAGCACTCCTTTTGTTTTGAACCACGGTTGTTAAATATGTGTAAGTGGTCATACAGGTCTTGATGATATAGTTATGTTGCATGAGCTGATGTAAAGGGAAGAGAGCGCTTATTTGCTGGCGACTGACGACAGTGGCGACTGCAGATGATAGCAATTGTTTTGATGCAGAAGATGAACTGTGGTACGGTTGTAACGAAGTGGCGTGTATGAGCTTAAGTTTGCGCTGAGAAAAAAGCGTAGATGAAAATGAAATGAATGCGGCTAAATTAAAATTTACTACAAGATGAATAGTGAATGAAATATTCTATTTTGTGACACTTCTACAACAAATTTTCATATAAGAATTTAAGAACAAAATCTTTGGGCTTTTAGCTCTGATTTATAAAATTTTGCGAATTAAAAAGAAATAAGATTTTATACCTGTTCTTGCTTTCCATCAGCATTTTTATCCTTGACCAACACTTCCACTCCGTTGGACATTATCCTTGTGGCTAGATTTTTCAATCTTCTCTCATCCTCTTCAGGTTCCTTTGCCTCTAAATCCATGTCTCTCCCTGGTCTCCAAGGCGTATTATCATATACAATACCATTTGTGTTAAATGCTGGAATATTAAAATTACTATTATAAACATTGTTCTCTTTAATAACATAATCAATAAAATCATTAACTTTACTCAAATTAGCAACAATATCTGAAGCAAAAAACTGAATTTATTGATATATTTGAAAGTAAATAAATTTGTGTGAAAACAATTAAAAAACACCAGATTTTGTGTATTCCGGTGACACACAATAAAGCCCATTCTACAGCATAACATTTCTGAAAAACAAATATTTGTGCAAAGTTGTGTTAGTAATGAACTAAAAACTACTTAACTAATTTTACAACTAATTAGACAAATATTACATAAGACCAAATCATTTATAATGTTTTATAGCATGAAGACCACCAACCAGGTAAGAAACAAACTATCAAAGATATAAAAAATGCCACGGTAAATAAAACTCAATACTTAAATTAATAAAGATCATAATGAAAAACTAATAGCAACGCCTTGTCTATATAAAGATTGTGATCAGAATTTTCATTAGCAACAAATGTGGCTAATAGATTGTGACGTCACGAATCTATTTCATTTCATACCTTGTTATTATTGCAATTATGCGGAATCGCGTGACGGGGTGCGCGTGCACCGGTGTCGTTTCAACCACATGCAGACTGTTTATACTTTTTTCTGTAATGTCTTATGTAATTTCTATCTGGATTTTAGTTTTTATCTACATTTATTATTGTATTCTGTTTATAGCTAATTTCTATATCTATGAGTGTGGTTTTAGTGTCTCTTATTACGTTAGTGTTAATTTTTACTCTATTTACATCTAATTCAGTTAGAATATTATTAGATGTCCTTGAATATGTTTCGTGCATTTCATATATTATGTTTTGTTTTACTTCTTTAATCTTTTTGTTTTCTTTATTAACTGTTTTCTAATTCTTTTCTGGATTTTTATGCTGTAAATATTCAAGAGCATCTAGTGACTAGTGTATTATTGTAATTATCATTAACAAAACACTAATTACACTCACCTCCAAAATTGGAAGTCGCAGGATGTGGGTATGGAACCATCCGTCATTGGGAACCTTCGGGATCTTCGTTTTTCTGATGCAGTCCAGTCTGTCAGTCTTCTGGTCTTTTGTCAGGTCATCTTGTCGAGTCTTTGTGATGTGGGTGGAAGGTAGGAGGAATGAGTTGTGTGATTGTGTCTTATATCGTAAGTTTTTTGTAAGTATCTGGAATTGTGTCGCGTCGTGTAGTTGTAACAGCGGTGTTGATTAAATAATAGTTGATATTTGCAGTGTTTTTGTATTAGAGCTTCAGCTCATAAGATAATTCTGGAATCTATTCAAAGAACACTGATGAATCAGTGTTCTTTGAATCGAATGAAAGAAAAAACAGAATTAAATTTTATACATTTTATTGTTTTAATTTTAAGTCGTATTTGCAATGTACAGTCGTAAGCAAGAAGAACGAGTATTAAAAGGTAAATATGATAATCTAGACTTATCTTAGGCAGTGAGTAATCGTTACCCAACAATTTTCCCCCAACACACTGATTATGGTAACATAGGAAATAACATTTTTGGTGAACTTATATTAACATGTTAATATCTAGTCAAGTACAAAAGAGTATTTCGTGCTTACAACTAAACTAAATCTATAAGGCACTATTCCATAGTTAACTTACTATGATACAATCGAAATAAATAACTAAACCATTACTATACACCTAACCATTTGTAGATTTCACGAGACATCGTCAATTGAACTTTGCCTTAGGTCCCTCGTGGCGGATGGGCTGGCTGCACTCACTACATATGTTGGTGACGCGTCATACCTAATGTGTTTACTGACCTCCCCCACTATACTCTCTAGACTTTGTGTCTCCACTTGATTCTCAACCGAAGCATTGTTAAAATACTTCTCAGTATCTGAAACAATGCCACTGTCTAGATAAGACCCGCTAAGTTCACTAATCGTTGGCAGTAAAGATGGCAGCACTTGAACATTATCGTAATATATGGCTTCGCGTTTTCTTACTGTCTGTGTGTCGTCTGCTACAACTGTTGACAGTACTGTGCTAAATTCACCAGGATGTCTACCTGATACGTATAAAGTCACTACGCTGGTCTGTTTGGGAGGACCTACAGGGGCAGCTGCAGCAGCAGGCTTAGGACGAGACTTCCTACGGGATGGAGCAGCCGGTGGTGGCGGTGGAAGGTCTTCCTCAGTATCCTGTACCTCAGTATCATCAGAAAAGTCTTCATTGCTATTCAAATCAGACAGTATGTTTGGTTTTGGACTATTACTGTAAATGTCATTGTTCAAATTATTTTGGTGGTTCAAATTTGGTGACAGGTTTAAGTTATTAAAGCCATTAAGGCCACCTAAGGCAGCAAGATCTGCTTGGCCTAAACCTAGCAAGGGATTGGCAGTTTGTAAGTTCAGAGCGGGTTGTTGTTGTTGCTGCTGTTGTTGGAGAAGTAGAGGAAGTAGTAACGAGTTGAGTTGAGGAGCCTGAGCTACGGTAGGGGTAGTCACTACAGTATCAGTGATAAATTCAGTGGCTGTAATGACATTGGTTGTAGGGTCAACAATTGTTGTCAGAATGGCCTGGCCTCTGAACGTGATAGGTAATACTGTCTCCCTAGCGTCTGTAACAGTGGTCACGTAAGTGGTCGTGCGAGTTTTGTATTCAGTTACTGGAGTTTGTACTATTGGCTGTTGGGGAATCAAGCCCTGTCCTTGTAAAGCAAGGAATGGGTTGATCGCCGGTTGCTGGTTGCCCAGCAACAGTTGTGAAAGCAAAAGATTAGCGAGAGGAACATTCGAGTTAATCTCTGGTGCAATTGTCTGAGTAACTGGCTCTACGTTGTAAACAGTACTAGGAAGGACGTGGGAGAAGGATGTCTTACGACCTCTGATAGTAGTAGGTGTGAAAATTACGGTAGTTGTAGGAGTTTCGTGTAATAAGTATTTAATTATTTTAGTGGCTCCATTGTCAGCTAATTCGGTAGACTCAGCAGCGAGCACCAGTTGTGGGTTGCCTAAAGGTCCGAATGAAGTTGATACTTGGTTAAGCAGTAATGTTTCTAGACTAGGTGTTGCTGATAACAAGTTTTTGTACTCAGTAATCTTTCCATTCACAATTGGCACTGTTACTTCGGTTGGTATTTGATGTGTGATGGTGATCTTTCCATCGTTTAGAATGTTTTTCACGTTGAAGCGTTCACCGCTGAAGTTTTCGAAGGAACTCCTTTGCCTGCTGTTGGCTCTGCTGGTAGTGGTACGTGTTCGTGAGCTTCTTCCTGAACTACGAGAAGTACTCGTTCTAGCGCCTGACGAGTTTTTGTTTAACCTAGGGGACTTGGGAGTCTTAGGTGGCTTAGGTCTGGAGGAAGTAGTAGTTGTTCTTGATGATGGTCGAGATGACTTTCCTCTTCTGTATGCTGGAGCAGAAGTGGTAGTAGTAGTCCTAGTTTCTCCACGGACAACGAATGGTTGGCGTGCGTTTGATTTAGGAGCTACAGCGGTTGTTGTTCTTCCAGAGCTAGACGAACGTCCATTGTAACGATTACCAGGTCTCACTTTTTGTGTAGTTGGCTCTTCAGTTTCAGGTTCAGGTCGTCGAGTGGTTGTTGTCTTTGTGCCTGGTCTTCTAAAGTTTGTATATTTCCTGTTTCCATAGTCGGCTTGACGTTTTGAACGCCGTTTAAAAGCAAATGGCCGTATTTGTACTATATTTCTCCTGGGAGCAACAGCAGGAGGTGGCTGTGCTACTTGACGTTCCTTCCTATCAGATGAGTCATAATCGTTGTCTTCTTCAAATTCTTCTTCTTCCAAGATTTCTTCACTCTCATCTACTTTTTGCTCGTCCTCTTTAATTTCTTCTTCAGGTTCCGGTTCTGGTTGTCTAAATAAGTTTCTTCTAGGAAATAGCGCATTTGGTCTATTTCTACGTAACGATAGAAGTGGACTAGATGTAGTCCTGGTTGTTGATCTCCTTGTTGTCGTAGTTAGTCTACCACGAGGGGTGACTGCCCTTCTGGATGAAGCAGTGGTTGACCTAGGAGTGATAGCTGTACCAGGTTGTCTAGGAACAGGTGGTCGTCTAAACCTGAGAAGAGGGTTGTTTGTTGTTCTAGCCGGAGCCTCAGAAACCTCTTCTAATGCTTCGGTTGCGTTTTCTTCCTGTTGAGTAGCCAAAGTTTCATCATTCTGATCTGGTGAGAATGTTATTGAGGCTGATGGCCTAACTCTACCTGGAGGAAGCCTACTTGAGGCAGTGGGCCTCACTCTTGGTGCTGCGGATCTGTTAATGTAATCCAAGCTGCTTGGGCGACCTGAACTGGATCTGAAACCAGTTCGTCTAGAAGTAGGTTGAATGCTTCCTCTAACAGCAAAACCTCCTGGTCTTGATGCTTGCGGTGCATTAGCAGATGGGTTATTGACACTAGCACGTCCGGGGAACCTCTTTCCTGCGCTTGATGAACCAGGGTACGCTGATTGTTTTCTGTTACCACCAAATCCAGATGTTTTAACTGATTTCAAACTTGGTGTAGCAGTGATAACAGGTGGTGTGAAGTCTGCACGTGTAATAGTTGTGGCTCCACTAGACAATGGAACACGTTTAGGAATAAATGTTGGTCGATTCCTTGAAGCAAACGGTATGATCACAGGAGTAGTGGATGGTTTCTTAGGTGTGAATGTAAGACGGGACTTCTTTCTGGTGTTAGTGCTATCATCTTCTTCCTCTTCAGACTCATTAGGAGTTTCAGTCGTAGGCTCAGGTTCAGCGACAGAGCTCTCAATTACTTCCGGAGTAGGACTGATAATATTGCTTTCAGTTGTTGTAGTTGTTGAACTACTTGTGTCAATAGTCAAAGATTTGTTGTCAGCAGTAACGACAGTTGAGTCACCAGATATAACAGCCACTTGAGAGAATAATATCTTCTTTTCTCCTTCTGGAGCAGGTGTGGATGGCTTATCTGCTGGTTTCACTTCCGCAAACAAATTATCAATGTATGTGCCTAGAAGTACCGTACCAGGAACTGAAGAAGCATCTGGTAGTTTTGTGGGAATGATTTGTTCTTTTACTACTGTTGGAGCTATGTGTGGTTTCTCTCCATTATCTTGAATCAAGTTCTGATCAGCTGCACCGACTGGTACTTTCCTACCAAGCTGATTATCTTCAACTAGTTTTGTGTTATCAACAATATTTGTAACAGTTTCTAAGCTGCTTCTAACCTGGGAAGTGTTGCCAGCGTAGAAGGTGGTGAAATATGTGTACGTGGTATAGAATGTGGCTTTGCCATCATCAGGTTCAAGGTTGTCTGAGACTAAAGATGGTTTTAGTTCTACCTCTAAATCTTTAGGTGGCAGGCTAGTGTCTACATCAATAGGAGTAGTGTCAATAGGACTGATTGTTGCAACCGATTGAGCCACAGGTGTAACCACATTAGATACGATCTCTTCGCGACTTGTGATGGTTGTAGATTTGTCTTTGTACAGAGTAGTCCAATAAGTAAATGTCGTGTAGTAAGTAATTGGAAGGTTACTTTCTTCTTCAGGTTCTTTGTTAGGCATGATAGTTTCTGTGACCACATTTGTAATTGTCTCCAAGCGACTCTTGACCTTGCTAGAATCCTTGCCAATGTACATTGTTGTGAAATAAGTAAATGTAGTATAACTTGTTTGCAGTAATAGAGTAGGTGATGGTAAGATCTCATCTATATTACTTTCTGAGCTAATCTGATCATCTAAAATAATGTTGTTATTATCAAGGAATTTTCTTTCTCCTTTGGAAGAGGAAGATTTAATGTCAGTGACGTAAGAGTTCTCGGATTCCAAAGGATTAGACTCTACACTGAACAACATGTCCACTTCAATCGGACTAGGATCTGGTGTACTCTCAGGTTTGGAATCTACGGAAGATTGTACTTTATCTTCTTCCATGCTAACACTGGTTTCCATGGAAGCAGTTTCTTGTTGGTTAGGAGGTTGTTCCATTTTAATTTGTTTGCAGTTTCTGAAGTCGAATTGAGCTCTTGTGTTCTCCATTGCTAATGGATTAGCCTTTGTGGGAATAAGTTCATCAGGTCCAACGTAATTTGTGTAGACTTCATTTCTGCTGCAAATGTTAGCATCACTGCCGACATAAATAGTCGTGAAGAATGTGTAAGTGGTGTAATATGTCTTTACAGCGTCGGGTTTAATGCTTGCAATAATATCGTCACCTAATGATGGTGTAGGTGTCTGAGAGCTATAAATATCATCTACTTCAACGGACTCAAGGACGTCTTTATTCTTAACAAGATCGATGGCACTGTTAATAGCTAATATTTCTGTAGGTCTGCCTATACCCACACTGGTTGGTGCAATCTCATCCTCGTTGAATGCTCCTAATAGAGATGGATCTAATTTAGAAAGATCGATTGTCGATGTAATGATGTTAGTGACAACAGATTTGTGGCTTGCAACGCTCGATGTTTGGTCACCGAAGAAGGTAGTGAAGTAAGTATAAGTTGTGTAAAGTGTTTTGTAAATTACATCAATCTCGTTTTCTGAGTCTTCTACTTCTTCTGGTGTCGTTGCCTTTTCCGTAGTGGTAGTTGTAGTCGTTTGTTCAGTGCTCACAGACACTTCAACGTGACCCTGGCTTGTTGTAATTCTTTCTGTTGTTGTAGTGGTAGAAGGTGTTGTAGTGGGCTCTTTCTCTTCAACTGTTTCCTCAGTTTCGTCCGAACTTTGAACTGTTCCCGTTGTTGGTTCATCTTGAACTGTTGTTTGTATTTCTTGTTGTTGCGTTGTAGTTTTTGGACTTTCAGTTACTATTTCGGGCTCTACAGGAGGCTTAGCAGGTTCCTCAGAAACTGATTCTACAATTTTGGATTTAGTTTCAACAGAATAATCAACATTTACGACAGCTGTAGGTTCAATATTCATATTTGTCCTACAAACAACATTGGTCAAGAAACCGGTGTTACTCTCGACCACTACATCTGACTTGATCGAAGTTGTGGTTTCTGTGCTCTCAAGAGGTATGAAATAAGTCGTCAAGTAAGTCAACGTTTTATAGGCAGTCGTCATTGTAGATTGAGTTTCAAAACCTTCAGTGCAAACTACTTCTTGAGTATCATCAATTGCGTCTTCATTACTATCTTCTTGTGTTTCAGGGATTGTAAATTTAGATTCTGTGGTGGTTTCCATTTCTTCAGAAGATTCTTCACTGTGTCCACTTTCTGTAGTAGTCATAAAGTCTGGCATTTCAGTGGTTACATCTTCTTCTTCCTCCTCCTCTTCTTCTTCAGGTTTCTCTGTTATTTCAGCGGCAGTGTTCTCAGACTCTTCTTCTGAATTAGTGAATAATTCAGACATGTCACTTTCAGTTACAGCCGATTCTTTAGGCGCTTCCAAGATCGTTGTTGTTGGAGATAAAGTCGCCAAAGGCTCAGTTGCCTCAGAGTTAGAGTAATCATTAATTGGAATGACACCCAAATCGTCAGTGGTACGAGTACTTTCTGTAGTAGTTATGGGAGATTCAGAGGGTTGAATGACATCAACATTTAAATCAAACCCGTTATTATATTGAACACTAACAACATCGGGTATCTTATCATCAACTTCATACAAAACCTTTTTTAGACTTTCCTCGTCATTGAAAAGAGCTTTGTCGGACCTATTCTCATCAACTACAGCAGGTCCAGGAATTCTGGTTGCTGACTTAGCTTCATGAGCCTTGTAAGTGGATGTAGCGACAGGAATATCAGCAGCCAGGAAAGTTATTTTAGTGGACAATTTGTCAATGCGATTAGCGGATGGGAAAACGTTAACTTCGTCAGGATTTTGGGGTCGACTTGTTTCAGTGTTAGGACTAAATATAATAACTGTGTCACCAACAACAGTAGTGAAGTCAGCAAAGCCCGCGTAAGTGAAAGTCTTCTTTGGTCTAGGTTCACTCTTTTGACCAAACAACTTTTTAGGTATTTTCGATTGCTGCGCCGCCTGCTGCTGAGGTCGACGAGACTCAACATTATCGATATAATAGAATATCGGTGAAAATTCGTTCTTAATCGTGAACGTCGGTAAATCGTAAGTAGGTTTAACTTTAACTACATCGACTTCGTCTAAAACCTCAGGTTTAGGACGAGGTTCTTCTTTAATTGGTTCAGTGACCGGTTCGTATGCTTTACTTTGTCTATTGAATGTATTTACATTTTCTACAATAGATGGCTCTACTACAAATTCAAACTTTTTGTCGCTATCGATAGATGGACCGTCAAGGAAATTTAAAGCTTCATTTTGTACATATCGCGGGATCTCTTTGACAGGTTGTACTCTACGACCCGTGGGTTCATCAAATATTTGATTTTCAGCCTGACTTTCAGGAGCAGAAGGACTCCAGAATTTGAAACTATCTTGGGCTGGCTTGCTAGCATAGACTATTTCCATTTTACTGCTAGGCGCCAGATAGTCAGTGTTTTTAAGTACGAACTTTTCAGGATCAATGAAGCCTAAATCTTGCTTGACGTTCCATTCGCCATCGAAAGCTGAATGTATGCGGGTTGGTTTGACAATAACAGGGTCTTCTACATTGGTCGGCTTATTGTAAAGTACTAGAGAAGACTTCGTTAGAAGCTGAGCGTAAATGCGGCCGTTATCTAAGGTGGTGCCCAGGATCTGGGTGGCGTACTCCGTGGTGACACCATCTTGGATGAACGTCCTCGCCGTCGATGTCAGTAGGCCGATGAGTGGTTTGACACTGTGGTACCTTCCGATCTTCGTGTTATAGTCATTCCTCTTCTGGTTTACAAGGAGGACGGTCAAGTCTGCGGTCAAAAGTCATAGTCAGCGTCATGTGGGTAGGATTTTCATGGAGGTGCGTTATATTTTACAAAGTCCATTTGAGTTGTTCCACGAACCACAGGATTAGATTTGAAAGAAAAAGAAAAAACATACAATTAATAATGCAATTTAAATAGAATAGAAAGAGATGCTAATAGATATAATTTGCATACAGTTAGCACTAATTTTGTACAGCTTCTCGTTCAAGATTGAGGTTTACGATGTTTTAAAGAACTTTGAAATAATTATACAAGTATGTTAATGATTTATTTGCAGACATTTTACCGGTCGTTCAATTCTGTTAACACCTGAGTGTAAAATTACACTCAAGACTCATTCAATGTTGAAATCGTTTTTGCAAAAAAACATCAAAAACCTCGTAAAAATATACAAAGTCGAATTGTTTTAGGTTAAAAAAAAGATTTGAAATGTGTTAAAAATGTAAGAAATAGGTAAAAGAAAATAGGATTGCTAAACATAGATACGTTTTTGACAAAAGATTTTATTTACTCAAGCATTCAAATCATTCAAGCAAAGAGGGTATTTTACAGAAGTTACTAAAGAGTGACCAGGAAGGACGAGAACTCACCCCTGTTTTCGGGAACTCCTTCCCTCTTTATCCTTGAAGATTCTATTTGTTCATCGTTATTTATTTCTGTAACAAATAAAGAAAATTGAATTAGTTAAGGTAGTAACAAAACCATTATATTTGAACAAAATAAATGTATTACTATATTAACACTACAATTTATAATCACAAAACTACTAGTGCTCATTCGAAGCCTGCCCCAATGGCTTCCATATCGCTCGGTTTCATGCAACACTAGCGACTGACCCGATAATCAATCTCAAAAACCTTTGCTCAGTATTTTATTAATCATCTCCAATCTCCCAAATTCCTAATCCCCAAAAGGCCGGTAACGCACTTGTAATACCTCTGTTGTTCCAGGTGTCCATGGGCGACGCCGATTGCTTACCAACAAACGTCTACTCGTTTACCAGCTTATTCCCATAAAAAAAACCTTAAAATGGACCAACATATACCACTGACACTTTCTTTTTATTCAAAGAACAATACAATACACTGACCAAGTTTTTTAAGTATACCAAAGCAAATAAAATATTCAAGACCGTCAACTGACCAAATGAAAGTAAATAAAGAATTCGTATTAACATATCGATGTTATAAATATGTCAGACTATTTACATAAAAAACTGTTAGATTGAACTTGTAACCGTTGTTTCTTTAATATGTGTTAGAAGAATAATATTACGTTTGTAATTCTATAAAAAGCCCGACAGATCTACTATTGTCACAGGAGTTCCTAAAGTCACAAATTGGGCATAATTCCAATTTCATTGCTATAGGAGTTTACAATATTGCCAGTCATATATGTCTATGTAACATCATGCCTGTTATCCCGAAGGGTAGGCAGAGGTGCACATTACGGCACTAAATGCCACTGTACAATGTAACAGCTACTTTTCACTATTTATGTTATGAGTCCCATGTAATAGGGAGTGAGCCTATTGCCATCTACCGGGCACATTTGCAGACCGGAGTCTGCAAATAGCTGGCACGGATGCTACAACCGAGATTTTCTCGTTCTTCTCCATTCGAATCTACATTTTGAAATAAGCACCTAGTTTCACTGACGGACTGACTGACAGACTATTATTTATTTTTTATTTGTTGACGTTTCAAAATTTCCAATTTAGGCTTTAATTGAAATAAATGCTTTGATTTTGACTTTGAATAAGTTTCTTTGTGGGATCATGTGATACCCACGAGCAGAATAGCGGTAGTATTTTACAGCCCATTAACGACTTATTAACTCCAATTATCACGTATTTAAGCAACAACAGATAACAAATACTAAATGCACTAGTTCCATAATCCGACGTCGCTCGGTTTCATAACAATTCGTTACGATAACCCAGATGTATTGTAGAAAGTAACCGAGTTCAGTTACCGAGTGACTAAAGTATAGCAAGGTCGATTGGTCGGATTCGTAAATTAATTTTGTTCGTTGAAAATCGTATGTACGTGTTTGCCATCATGTTTTATTAACCGACTGGTTTAAATGTTTAAAAGAGGGACTTTAACTCGTCGAGTACCGTCAATATAGACACAATTAAAGAACAATAGGTTGCGGTCACCGGTGACCACTTGGTGTTTGACAGTTTAAGGATTTATTAGTGTAGGTATTGCTTTAGGAATATTTCGACAGACTACACAGACTTAAGCTCAAACTCAAAAGCAATCACTTCAATTAAACCATAATTTGTTACTTTTGAAACGTCCACAAATATAAAATAAATAATAGCCTATCAGCCTGTCCGTCAGTGAAGCTAGGCGCTCGTTCCAAAACGTAGATTCGAATGGAGAAGAACGAGCAAGAAACTCCATTTGTTACTCTTTTTAAAAAAGTCTGTTTTACACTGCTCTGATACATATTCCAATATTTTACACATAATTATGTAAGAACAATGTAAAGACACGCTTGACGAATAGCAAATTACAGAACTTACTAAAATAAAAAACCAAACTAAAATAAAAATAATATCTTCTAGTTTAACATGGTGCTCACATATCTATACTGACAATTCAGATAAAATAATGCTATACAAGAAAAAAATAGCTTAAACGTGCTAGAAAAGTTACTGGACATTAAATCTGACCTTTTGACCTCATATGGATAAAGTGAAAAGAAATATTCAGCCATAAAAACTAAGACTTATTCAAATATAGTTGGTTGACGCGATAAAGATAACATCAGTTATTGTTTTTTAGGATTTCTAGTAGCTTGCCTCGATTTAAAAACAGAAAAAACAATAGTATGTTACAATAATAAAGTTTAAGAATAGCAGAAAAGTATTATCCTAGACTAAATACTAATATTTCAAAGAATACACTTCTACGAAATCAAACCGACTGCTTAATTTGAAGACGGAAATAAAAAAACATATGCGGTAATAATAAACCATTTGAAGCGTCTTCACCATTTGCGAAAGCGCATCGCAACGCAACGCTCGAGCCCTTTGGGAAAAATTGTAATTGCGCAAAACCACAAAACAATGGTTGCAAGTTACCGGCCTATTCAGAATCACAGAAAAAATAACTGTTACATGCCTTTTTTTCACACAATTACTGTCTAGGCTTAGACACGTTCGTGTTATCTAAGGTATGCGCAGATTAGACACATTTTATCTTTATCCGATTCCTTGGAATCAAGATTTTCCGACGTGATTTGGTAATGAATGAAAAGCCTTATCGGTTATCTGATGATGTTCCTTGATTGATATCTAGTCTTGAAGTATTAAAACGGTAATACAAATGAGACTTCTTCCCTTACTGTGTAATTGAGTAGCAATTCACAACCAATGCTTCAACATTTTATTGAGAGCGTTCATTAGGGAGTGCAGAGAACCTCACAGTTTCTAAAAATCACTACAGGAGTAAGTAAAATCGTAGTTAAACGAAGTATGTATGTTTTAAAACTTAAGTCATATATCTATTGCTGCTATTTCTATCTAATTGTTTCAAGAATAACGATACGTATAGACAATATATAATATAATTATATAAATAGACAAGATAACGAACAACGATAGAGCATAATCAGGTCTATAATACAATATATTCTAGCTTTTACATTCAGACATTTATATAATTAAATCATACTCTAACTACAACACACCATACTTACTATTTATATCAAATATCACTACATCACTCCAATGAGCACCTAAAAATCCATACAACAATCGACACAACCACTTCCAACTACGCACATCACGTGTCCATTTTCTCCCCATCAGGATGGACACACGGAAGTTCGCCCAGTGCATAACGATCAGCTCTGGGTCACTGGTCTAATGACCTAGTACGTGGTGTGTACTGACCTTGAATAGAACACTTTCTTCATATGGCCTGTTGGAACATTCGCATCATGACTTATATGTCCTTGATATTCCGTTAGTTAGAATGGAATATTTTAGTTGACAGTCAGGTTATTTGAAGAAGGGGTTGTGGTCTTGATTTAGGGGCTTTGTTACTTATACAGATAAAGAGTCAGATGATGTATCAATGAGACTATAAAAATCCGTTTTTTCAAAGAGTAACGATGGTGTTTCTTGCTCATTCTTCTCCATTCCAAACTACACTTAGGAACGAGCGCCTAGCTTCACTGACTGACAGGCAGGCGAACGGACATTAAAATTTTTTGACGTTTCAAAAATGCCTAATTAAGGATTTTTTTTAAGGGGGGAAAATCATCGAATAGAAGGCGGGAGGGAGTGTCAGACTCTTAATGACTAAAAACCACCCCGTTCCTTCTCCTGCACGTCTAGTCGGAGCCCCGGGGTACCCGTTAGGTTCTCCGCGACATTGTTGTAATATATGCTTTGACTTAGACAGATGTTTTTATTAGTAAAATGTTCAGTTAAATATTTTTTTGTATTTAATTTTTTGTGACTACTAACACATAATCTACATACAATTTGATATGTTGCTTAATTAAAAACTCGAAACAGCTAAGATTATCGGTTTAGATAGAATTGCTGGCACAATATGGGTATAAAACACAAAATCTGACCAATTACAGAGAATCTTGGGTACAGGAATCGATTTCGTAGCACTAGTATTGTCAATGTCAAAGAGTCTTAAATCATATTTCTAAAATACGACAAGAAAACAGAGAGTAGCTTCAACACGAACTTTTTCCATGATAATCGATTGTGATTGGTTACCACGATGATCAAGAAATTGAAGAAAAAGCCTTCCGATTGGTAGCTTATCTCTTTCATTGTTTTTGAGGGAACAAGGTCAATGTCGAAGTCTGTATAACTACTAATAAATATAGGAATTACTATGCGAATAGCTTTTACTTGAACATGTTGAGAAGAACCAGTGAATATATCACATATTATGTCCAATTATCCATATCTTTCTATCTGAAAGCTTAAAACGTAATATAAAACATTTCATGAGATTTTGAACAAGGCTGTATGAAAATTAAGACCGTGCGAAGTCGTAGCAAAAAAATATAACCTGTATAATGTCATAATGACAGTGACACTTAAAACGTCATTAAAAAATTTGACCTACTAAACGAAATGATAGTTGGAATTCATTCGAGAAAAATGTTATTTTACATAACGATTTAATGACTCGTGTAACTTAGTACCTAAGTTATCACTTATATAAGTTAAGTTATAGACTTGAAAAATAAGAACATCTGAACTGAAATGGTACTTCAAACAAAATGGCATTTCGCATTTTGAAACGACTTCCGTTCGACCATTTCATTCTTGGCTATCATTTCTTACAATACACCAATTACATTACAACTGAGATTTTCTACACGCCATTTTGCTACATAACTTTATAGATATAAGATCTAAAATCGTCTCACAAGAATTTATAGTACTCTTAAACTTGTGAGAACAGGTGTACTAGTACAAAAGAACTAATTACGCATAGAAATGTCAAAACATTAATTATTTCGCACGGTCTCCTTTCTAAGAAACTTGTAGCTTCCAGTCCTTATCAAGTATATCTTTAGTTTTCAAGGTGCTAAGGTTCAAAGTTGAATGGCAATTGTTTTTCTGATTGACGAACGTAAAATTAAATACTTTGTTTAGAAAATAAAG